ATTGAATTTCCTTTTGTTCTAGCTCTCAGATTTGCAAAAAAAAATAATTATTTTTTAACAAGACAATCAAAAGCCGTGACAAATATAATTACTCTTTGAGTATATATGACACACCAATTAAATTTAGGAAAAAAAATACATTTTACACATTAACATTAGTCGAAAACTGAGTCACAGATCTATATTTGTATTATAATTTGTTTAATTCATACTAGTAGTTGAAAGACAATCTTTATTATTCCATTTGAAGCTATTTATCTATTTCACTATTTTTTATTTTATAAAGTTTGATAGATAAATTTTATTTTTTTTTTTTGGTAATAAATATTTTTTGTTTGTACCTACATACAATTGTAACAAAAATTGTAATTTCAATAAATTCCAATAAATTTCAAAAAATTGGAGGTCATGGAATTGCGTCTAATTTAATAATAATAATAATAATAATAATAATAATAATAATGATAATAATAGTAACGATGATAATGATAATAGTAATAGTAATGGTAACGGTAATGGTAACAGTAGTGGTGACAGTAATGGTAATAAGAATTGTAATGACAATGACTGATAAGAATAAAGGTACCTAATGACATTAATAACGATAATGATAATTGATTGTAATTAGGATTATGATTATGATTATGATTATGATTACCTACAAGTACGACTACGATTACAACGACGAGGACGCGATTACGACTACGACCACGATCACGAGCACGATCATATCACGATCATGATTATGATTAAGATTATGATACAATCACGATAACCATAACACACATCTAACAGATAATTTAATACAAATAAAAATCAGTACCAATATTTCATTGTAACTTGTATAATAGGTAGGAATAATTTGATCAATACATAATATAATACATATATACCTAGAGATAATTTTGGAATTTAAATTTTGAACAACTGCAAGTTTTTTAGGCTGATTTAAATTGAAATTTATAAGGCTCTTGGAAAGTAGCTTATTAATGTCTGCTTTCAGTTTTAATTCAGCAATTACAGAACATACATACAAGAACGGTAGTAGTTTCTAACAACATGCAGTTGTCGTAAAGAAATATGTTACAGTTACATACTAATTATTAAAGGTATCACAGCAATAACATGGACAGTTTTTTGTCCAATACTAGTTATTTTATGCGGAGGTAATTAAAATGCTGGAAAAACATGGCAGATTCTAATTTCCAAATTAATAGAAGACATTACTTATAAACATGTGTCCGAGAATGCTTCTAGTCTAGTCTTTTGGGGAAATTCTTCTCATGCAAGTAAAGTTTTCATTCTTCAAAAAAGAGCTATTCGTTTTACTTTTGGACTAAAATATAGAGCATCTTGTAAAACAACATTTATTAAGGAAAACATATTAACGCTACCATGTCTTTATATTTTCGAAATTTTGGGACACCCAGTGCATAGGCTGGAATTATACAGGGTGATTCAGAACTTATCCCAAAAAAAAAATTATGGATGTACAGGGGACCTTTACAAATACAATTTTGTAAAGAAAAAATCAAAAAGGTCAGTTCGAAATTGATTTAAAAATACACTTCTGCACGGCACTGGAAACTGGTCCACTGTAAAACCTGACCTCGCACAATGCGACCGGTATGGCGGCGTGATAAAAACGGACAAAAACTTTCGCAAGGAAAGAAATATGTAAATAGAATTTTATCGCACCTATTTTATATCGGCAAATTCAAATGCTTTTGCCTTTATTAATTATTAATAAAATTAATTTGTGTTTTTAAATAATAAAATCATTTGACATACCCGATGCTGCAACAGCAATTGTTCAAAATTTTATCCACTCACGTGTAAACACATTTGGGTCCGTCTTACTCACTTTCTACGAACTAACACAAATGATGTCTTGCTTCACCATAACACAAATACTTCACCATAATACAAATGTTGTCTTGCTTCACCATAAATTAAAACGATATCCATCAACTCTGAGTTGCTATACACGCAAGCCATTTTTGACACTAACTACTAAAAAACTGATGTAAATACCACAGATAACAGGTAAAAACTACCGCAACGACGGATTTCAGTATTAGGAGTCACATGGCTCTCCACGCGTATTGCGAATGACGCTAGAGACTACAGTTGTCCAGCTATGTAGTGGTTTAATGTGCTATAACTTCAATAATTTTTTTCTCAGAAACTATAAGGATTATACAAAAAATTTTTTTACAATATTGACTCCATTTCTCATGCCGCATCTATTCCCAAATTTTTTTGGATAAGTTGTGAATCACCCTGTATAAATCGAATCCTTATTATATGGGCACCATTAAATGCAATAAACTTAATATCTCTATAAAAAACATCGTTGATTTCAATTCATTTTCTAAAGCAATAAAGGAGATTTGATGAACAAAAGAATAGAAATAAATCACGGGACACAAAAAATTTCTCGAGGCAAAATTTACCACCGCACTGTATCAAATATTTATAATTTTTTAATTTTTTTAAATTTAAGTTTTACGTGATTTATTTCTATTCTTTTGTTTATGAAATTCAATAAAAAAAATTATTAGTTCGTTCATATTTATTTTTAGAGGTCGCTCGAAAACATTTTAAGTACAGTACCTATTTTGAAAGTTAAAATAATTAATTATGAGTGACCTTTAGAAATTAAAATATCGATTTGAAATTTTCAGAATCGAGATTTTTTTCAACCTAGAAAATGATAAAAAAACGAGAAAAAAAAATTTTTTTAAATGTCGGAAATTTTTAAATATCTTGAGCGACCTCTAAAAAATTTTTTTTGGGATGATTTTTTTAGGGGGCTCTTAAAACATGATAAACTAACATATTTTCACAAGACACAAAAAAAATATTGGTTTTTTTTTGGGCCACCCTAATGTACAGGGTGTTGCATAAGTGTGTACAAAAAATTTATGACTGCATTTCTTGGAAAATTTTAATCATATAATTTTTTTTAATTGGAACCTCCCTAAAAAGTTAATCTAGTTAGTTAGGGGACGGTGTAAACTGGTTTTTTCAATTTTTCTCAAAAATTGTTGAATATAACCAAACGAAATTTGGCATGATTATAGAACTTATAGAATCATATTTTTTGCTATCACATTTTCCATTTTCTTGGTTTGCTATAAGGAGGGAAAGTAAACCACCCCTTTCATGTTTTTTCTACAAACTTTTTTATTCTTTTAGATTCTTTTAGATTTCATAAGCGAAATACTATTATAAGATGCCTTTATTTATTCAGAAACTTTTTTGTCTCTTAAAAAAATTTCGTAGTGCTCTTAGTTTTTGAGAAAAAATATTTTTTAGAATATTGCAAAATACGATATGAACCCCTATTCTGAGATTATGCGTAATTTATTCGTAGTAGGCTGCTATTACTACAACACTTTTTGGTAAATGTCAAACATTGATAATAACATTTTTAAATTCAATACAAATCAGTATATGCTGCAATTAATTATTATGGCGATTAATAATTAAAATTTAAAAAAATTATATGAAAGAAAGTCCCCATTAAAATTTTCCAAGGAATGCAGTCCTGAATTTTTTTACACACTTATGCAACACCCTGTACACGATATTAACATTTTGCATTATATCGCAAAAATTTATTAGTATTATTTATGTATTTAGTGTTCTATAACAGTCAGACTAATTTGAAATATCTAGAGAAAAAATTAAAAATTGCGAATGAAAATTGAACAAAATCACTGCAGCTGTTTTTCTGGAATTTAAAAAACACGATTTATCATATTGCTCTCGAATCTTAAAAATCAAGGGTTTTCAAGAAAATTTTTTTATTTTGTGATGTCACCCCTACATATGTTGAAGTGTATTAAAATTAGTAAAGACAATATTTATTAAACTTGTAAATTTACCTAGTACATTAGAGACTTGTTTGAGTTAATGGTTAAACTAATATGTATATCACTTATCTGTTAAGTGGTTGTAATATTTCAGTGTCAATAAAATCTGCAGAATAAGAAAAAAATATCAAATTCGTAGCTTCAATAGTTTCCTACTTATTTTTAATTTAACTATCCGTTATATATTTTTTTATCATTTTATTCAGCATGATCTGTATTAAGTTCATGTAAGAAATATAGTTTTTCATCTCATATATATATACAATTAATTCAACAGGATAGGTTTTATACTTATCTAAAAATATTTTTAAAAACAAAATATACATTTTACTTCTTAAATATCATCTTGTAACAGCCGCATTTTTTAATAGAATGTACGTGATGTCATATGCAAATAACTAGAATTAGTACATTAAAATCAATAGGTTTGTATGAACCTTATTATCCATTAATTTAATTGTTGCAATATTTGTTTTATACATATCTAAAAAATTATAATTACGACAAATTTGAACAAAATGAAAGCTACTAAAAAATTAAATAATAATTTGCTGCGCAAAAGTTAATTTTGAATTAAATTGAACTTCATATGTAATAATAATATGCATGTGGGACGAAAATATAGCATTTCCTACTCGTAATGAAAATGAATTTTTTTTTTCGTTCATGAACTTATCCAGGCGATTTTATCTCTTGCTACAAAATTGTTATAGATATTTCATTTCTTTATTTATTATGTTAAGTCCACTTCTGTCCTATTCGACACATCTTTAACATTAATATTTTTCTGTACACCTACGAGTACACCTTATACAAACGAATAATTGATATGTAGGAGACTTGGTCTACTTCCAGTACTACATTGAAAACATTAGAACCGACACGTTGTATTATTTGCCATAATTACCAAGATCTGTAACGCCACACGGCATTATAGAAAATCGATCTGTTTTTTGTCTCGGTCAGTGTGAATGATAAGATCCTGGACGGGGGCTCACTAACCGCATGGGAGGGGTTAGAACCACGCACCGAAAACGACACCTTCAGGGGGGACCACCTCGACTATATAAGTTAACTAGTGTAAGTGAATCCATATCAGTTTTTACCCAACTCGAACGCTAACATGGTGCTCAAGTGTGTTGTCCTTGCCCTAGTGGCCGCTACGGCTCTTGCACGCACCACGGGCACTTCCCAGAATTCCATCCATCACGAGACCGCGCGCTCCGAAGAAAGCAACTCGTATTTCGGTGACCTGCGTTATGTGTACAAAGTGTATCAGGAATGTGCCGCCACAGACTTGACATCGTGTTTGAAATTGAAATTGGTCGCTGCCTTGGATCGTGTCGCTCGGACGTACCCCGAAGTTCCACTGTTTGACGGTGTTACCTTCGTCAAGGACCCCAAAGCAGCCCCTACGCAGCAGGAAGTTAAGACCGAGGCGGATATTGAGGCTTCCCTTCCTAGAGCATTGGAGGAACGCGAAGATGCCCTCAACAACTTGATCGCCAATAAAGTGACCAACTTCTTCGAAACGCACACCTTACAGGTATGTAACACATGAAACTTAATGATTAGTTTCACTTTGACATATCCTAAAACTTCACAACCAACAAAACTTTTCAATCAAATCTGGTAAATAACAAAATATTTTTATATCGATTTTTTTATTTACAGGTAAAACTTCCCACCGCAACTGACATTCAGAGGTCTTTCAACGGCGAAGAAGGTCGCGGTAAGAAAAAGAAGTCCTCCGGTTTCCTCTTGTTGCCCTTAATCTTGGGTGGGACTCTCATCCCCCTGGCACTAGGAGCCTTGGCCCTCCTTGCAGGCAAAGCTCTCATTGTATCCAAACTAGCTCTCGTACTGGCTGGCATCATAGGGTTGAAGAAGCTTCTCTCTGGAAGTGGAGGCGGCCATGACTCTGGACACGTTGAGGTCGTTTCAGGTGCCCACGGAGGTGGCTGGGGAAGGTCGTATACCAAAGAGGAAGCCCAGAACTTGGCTTATCAGGCATACGCCCCCAAATCTAGATAAAAGATTGATAATTTAAGACTATTTATTTAATTTATTCTCTTTTATTTTAACACTGTTAGATAAGACTTAATAATAATAAATTATATTTTATTTATGTACGTGACTGGTATTAATTTCGAATTAGCTAGGTGTTTAAGGACTTGGGTGAAAGTTTACATAAGGTCATATTAGATTACGTTTTTAGATGCAACCGCTTTTACTTTCTGCTAGAAGTGATTAAAGGTAAAGAGCATTTTGTGTAGTCCATCATTTTGCCCTAAGACTTCTTGCATGTTTACAGGTCTCTTTGAAAAGTAAACCAGATCGTGAATAAATATATGGGTTTCGTGTTTATCGGTCTATGGCTTGTTATGCACTGTCTGATGCCACATTGAATATGCATTATTGTACCTTATATTTGTCATGAACTACAAATAATCGATATTATTCCAGATTCATTAGAATTAAACCACAGTTAACTGAGACATCATTGAAAATTTAGGTATCTGCTGAATATAAACGAACAGAATGCTGTGACCATTTTCATATACAGTACATTTCATATTAAGTACATTCCGATAACAAGAGAGGTAATCTTTAAATCAGTTTAACGAAAAAGTCATTTTTTAATTATACCCTTTTAATATTAGCTCTTTACATTTATTTAACTTTGATAGGTATTAAGCTAATTTAAATCTTAATTAAGTTTAAGAATTTTCCTAATATCCTCATCTAATTAGATGATATATGTATATGCTCTTTGACACCAACATAAAAAGCTGTTTCTAAAACAAGCTGTTAATGACATTATTGGAAGCGGTTCAAAATATTTGTTAACTACAATATCATTAACAGCTTGTCTTTGACGTTGCTTTTTAGCATATCTAGATATTGATATCGAAAATCATATGACTTCAACAAAAAAGAATTTTAGGAAACTTCTTAAACTTGATATAATAACACAAAAAATTTAGTATTCAACATTTCCACATTTTTATTAAATTCTTATATATTATATATACAGGATGTCCTTAAAAGGTCTTTCCAACGCTCCAGCAGATACAGTTCGTTTCAAAATAAGCCGACTTGCTGTCAATGATTAAAATTACTTTCGAATAAACGATGAGATTAATCGAGTCTTATAAAGAGTACCTTTTTTGTAGTAAACAATTATTTAATCTAAATTTTATACTTAAAATTATTTTCTTCCTTTGGCCTAGAATTATGGAAGGTGAAATTACTAAACAACCCAAATTCTAGTCCAATGGATTGATATTACTCTTAATTTGGTATGGGCTATATTGTCCTATAGAGCGGTATCAACTTACTAAATTTTAGCAAAATGGCATAAGTCGTTTTTATATATATAAAAAAAAAACAATTTCAAAATTGCAACTTCAGAGCCGTATAAGTACCGCCCAAACGGAGCAACTTTGAACTAAGGTAACTTTGGCTAAATCGTCTTATTTTGAGCCGCGCTGTATCTGCTGGAGTGTTGTAAAGACCGTTTAGGAACATCCTGTATACAGGATGATTCACAAATAGTGACCAAAAATGAAACCTCGTCTGGAGTCTGGAATTGTGGGGAGGGTAGCAAAGCTACAGCACTTAGGCCCCATTGGGTCCCTTGTACTTCCTCCCATTAGAAAGATCAATCCACCTGAGCCGCCAACCAGCCTATTACAGTGAAAAAGGTGGTGACGTTGCTCAGGGGGATCTCTCTAATATAGGCCATTGAAGGCCAACGTCCTCCCAACATGGACTCTCTTGTTGACGAGACGGCAGTGCATTCACATAGTAAATGCAATACCGTTTCGTCTTCCTGTTCACAGCCCCTACAAAGAGGTGTTTCACATTTCCCCATATTGTAAATGTGTTTCCTTAGCCAACAGTATCCAGTTTGAATACCTGTCACCTGGCGAAGATTTGACCTAGACATAGCCAGGTATTTTTTGGCTATGTCTATACTAGGATACACTAAGAGCTCCTTAGCAAAGTGACAGCTGATTGTTTCATCCCATCATAAATTCTTTGTGGGTGTCTTCCTTAATAATTCCAACAATTGCCGACAACGGAAGCACACTGGAGGGGCCGGGTCCAAAAATGTTGAGGCCCGATACGCTCCTGGCTAGCTTGTCAGCTTCTTTATTGCCATAGCACTGCTCGTGTACCTTTACCCAGCATACAGATATGCTGTTAGCGGCCGAGGCCACAACCAGTGCTTCATGGCATTCCCATACTGTCCTAGTCATTATCTTATGATTACGCAAGGTCAGTAGTGCTTGTCTACTATCCGTGTAGATTCTAATGGTTTTGCCCGTAGTATGCCTGCGGGCAATTTCCTTAGCGGCTATGGTTATGCCTGCTAACTCCGTTTGTACAACGGTAGCATGCCTATCCATTGCCCACTGATATCGGATGTGCAGGGATCTAGAGTATATTCCACATCCTGCACCCTCCTTCCTTTTTGATCCGTCTGTGAAGATGCTAATTACATCTCCACGGGCGGTCTCCTCCTGTCTCTTAATGAGTACGGTGTAGGGTTTGTCAAATGCAAACCGGGGAGAAATACTGTCAATGTCTGCCTGCAGGAGAGGCGTCTTCCTGACGACCTCATTCCACAGGCGACTTCTGACTTCTCCACATCCTACAACCGGTTTTAAGCCAACGTTCTCAAGGCGAAGCATAGTTGTCAAAGCCATTTCTCTTAGATAAATATCCAGAGGTGGCAGACACAGCATTACCTCCATTGCTATGGTAGGTGTTGTACGCATAGCTCCAGTTATGCTCAGACAGGCAACCCTTTGTACTTGGCTGAGCTTTTGTTTAGCTGTCGTCTGCTGAGATTTCGGCCACCAGACGACAGCCCCCTAGGCTAACATTGGTCTCACTATGGCAGTGTATATCCACATAACCACATTTGGGTTCATGCCCCAGGTTTTGCCAACGGTTCTGCGGCACTGCTCATAGGATATGTACGCCTTTTTTAATCTTCTCTCAAAGTGAAGATTCTATTTTAGCTTTGCATTGAGGGTAACCCCTAGGTATTTCACATCAGATGCAAAGCTTAGCGTAGTGTTTAGGAGAGTTGGTGCCTTTGTTGGCCCCAATTTTCTCTTCCTCGTGAAGTGGACCATTTCCGTCTTCCTAGGGTTCACTGACAGAGCATGGTCCTCACACCACTTTTCAATAATTCTTAGGGCTGTTTGCATTCTCTGGCAAAGGATCCCTTCGAATTTACCCGCTAATCAGCATAGTGAGGTCATCTGCATAAGCGATGGTATAGATGCCTTCCGAGTTGAGGTGGCATAGGAGACTGTCTAGAACTAAATTCCACAGCAGTGGTGATAGAACCCCTCCCTGCGGACAGCCCCTTGCAACAATTACTCTCGCGGAGGCATCCCCACACTGATTTGTATAGCTCTTTTTGTGAGCATAATTGATATCCATCTGCAGATGGTGGAAGAAACCCCTCTCTCCATGAGAGCCGAGTTGATTTTGGGAAAGGATGTTTTGTCAAACGCCCCTTCTATGTCAATGAATACCCCCAGGGTGGACTCCTTGTTGTCCAAAGATTTCTCGGACCTGCCCACCACCTGATGGAGAGCAGTATCGGTAGATCGCCCCGGAGTGTATGCATGTTGATTAGGGTGTGGCTGTCTGTCCATAAGCACACTATCCCTTATGTATCGTTCACACAGCTTTTCCATCGTTTTCAACAGAAACGAGGTCAGGCTGATGAGTCGATACGCCTTTGGGAGGTATAATCCAGCCTCCCTGTTTTGGGAATGAATACAACCCTTACCTCCCTCCAGATCTTTGGAATGTAAAGGTGTCCAAAGCACAGCCTAAACATCCGCTCCAGGTGCGGCATTAAAACATCCAAGCCCCATTGTAAGAGAGCTGGATATATACCGTCAGTGCCTGGTGATTTGAAGGGTGAGAAGGTTTGCATTGCCCATCTAATTTTGTCCTTAGTTACAGTTTGGTTGGCAATCTGTCAATCCAAGATTGCAGGTGGGTTTTCAATTTCGTCTGGCCAATCTTCCCGTTCCACTAATGTGGATCCCGGGAAGTGGGTCCGCATCAGCAGTTTCAGACTTTCATTTAGATTGGCACGCCATTGGTTCTCACGCCATCCTCTCTGGTTAATAGATCTATATCATGATCTTTCTATTTTGCAAGGATCTTACATAGCTTAGCAGCCTGCGAGTAGTCTTCAATCTCCTCGCAGTAGGCTCTCCATGAATCCCTTTGTCTTTTCCTGACCAGTTTTTTGAAAATCTCAGGTGCGTTTTGTATATTTCCCAGTCTGAGTCTTGTCTTGTCATTTTTGCCTTGTTAAACGATATCCTGGCCTTCTTCCTCAGTTCGCTCAGCTCCCGGATCCACCAACCCGTGGTTGCGCCGGTTTGCCTAGCTGATCTGAAGGGGCAGGATGTTATAAAGGCTCTTTTTATGGCAGATTGTTCACGAGTACCTCAATTTCTCCATTGTTTCTGGGCTCCTGATCTTGTACCGCTGCCAGGTTCTCCCGGAGGTGACAAAGGTATTTATCCTTGTCAGTTCCTCGGGAATCCCGGAACAATTTTTGAGGAGTTTTGATAAGATTAATATTAAAGTTTATCCAGCGGTTTATGACACCTCGTATTCTTTGGTGAATTTTAAGTGAATTCTTTCCTATGAAGTTTTTGTCTAGGACACTTCGTTAAAAAGATACAGGGTGTTAAACTGCAAAAAATATTTTTCATTTTTTTAAATAATTTAAATACTAAAGTGAAATAACTTGAAATTGGACACATCTATTTATGTAAACATTATCCAAAATCAGAGGGCTTTTACTAGAGCCGCTCCAATTGCGGAGATACTGGGTATCGGAGATATATTTTTCATCAGAAACAATAAATTTCGAACAAATTACATTTTCGTTACTAAAAAGATGTCGGGCCTGTGTTCGTGGAAATGAAGGTATTTGATTTTATTGGAATAAATACTCAAATAAAATCATTCAAATGATGATTAAAGTCATTAATTTATTCGAATAAATAACCGAACCGAAGTAAGATTTTCCAGGCTC